GCGCACTCTGCATCTAGCCGGTGCCAAGGTGAACACCGATTAGATCCATTCAAACTCCCCACGTTCGATGGTCGACAGGAAAACTGGTTGGTGTTTAAGGACATCTTCGAGTCGATGGTACATAATCGGACTGATCTTGACGACACTTACAAAATCAGCCGGCTAAGGCAGTGCGTCGATGCGCAAGCGGTGTCAATAGTTGGCGGCGTATACACTGGAGGCTACGACCTACTATGGGCGGAATTGAAGAGGAGGTACGACAATCCCAGGCGTTTGGTTGAGTCACATGTGAATCGGTTGTTGGACTTGCCTGAACACCCAGCACTTACGCAACGCAATGTTCGGAATGTAATCGATGTAGTACGCAGTACCTTACGTGCACTTAACGTGATGGGCTTGGACACCGACCATTGGGACGCCATCGTTTATCCTATTGTTATCCGTAAATTGCCAACATCGGCGGTCACGCACTGGACCGTTCTGAGTCATTCAGACACTCTGCCGCATCTGCAGAAAATGCTTGAGGAGATTGAGACCTATGCTGACACTTTAAGGAGCAGCTCTGCCGTACCGCCCAGGCACTTGGCAACATTTCGTACTGCACAGTCACATATGGTGATGCCCAAATCTTCAAGCGCCAACATGATATCAGCAATGACCTGCCCACGATGCGCCGAGCCACATCGTATATCAAGATGCCCTCAATTTCGAGCATTAAGTCTGGTTCAACGTTTGCACTGGGTACGCCAAGCCACGTTATGCTTCAACTGCTTGGGACCAGGTCACTCGGCCCGTGAGTGTAACTCGGGGAATTGCAACAACTGTAAGCAGAAACACAACACCTTGCTTTGTAAGGAAGCTCCGCAAGGCGAGCGGTTACCTACAAACACCAGCTCAGTAGCGCGACCAGTGTCCGTACTCGAGCAACAATCGCCATCAACCAGCGCTACTACGCCTCAGGTCCTGCCCGTCTGGATGCTGTCAAGTCTCTCCTGGCGCAATCCGAAGGAATCGTCCTACTAGCCACTGCCAAGGCGCCCATCGTAAATGGGTTTGGAGAGGAAGTATCGTGTCGTCTCTTGTGTGACATGGGTTCACAGGTAAGCTTCATTACGGAGCCATTTTTAAGCGTTTGAATCTCCACAGAAGTCATTACACATTGACGGTAGAAGGGCAACTTCTTCGCGCGGACAAACGACTCTGGTGATGCGATCATATCACGATGTAGAATTTGAGTGCCGTTTTGATGCGCACATTTTGCCTAGTATAACTTCGACGATTCCCGCATCTCCAATTGACACGAGCGGGTACAAACACTTACACAACATACCACTGGCTGATCCGACATTTCACACGCCAGGAAGCATCGATGTACTCATTGGAGCGGACATCACGGGCATGCTTCCCCTGGGTGAAACTATCACTGGTGGGACTAAGCAGCCGTGCGCTCTCCATACGCGTCTCGGTTGGGTCATATGCGGACCTACATCGCCACGCTGTGCGTCACTCCCCGCCTTGGGCACACCGACCGAATGTGCTACCTGGGAACTGGAGGAGGTTCCTCGCCCCAAAACGACCGATGACATTTGCGAAGAGATTTTCCAACGAACCGTATCGCGCAAGAGCAATGGCCGATACATAGTGCAGATCCCATTTTCTCCGGATGCGCCTGCACTCGGTGATTCCTACGGCAAGGCGCTGGGCCACTTTTTCAACCTTGAGAGGCGTCTGAGGGGTGATGATGACTTGCGCCAGAAGTATGTTCAGTTTATGCGCGAGTACGAGACGCTCGGCCACATGGAGAAGATCACGCTATAACGAGATGATCCATCCCACGCCTACTTTATACCGCACCATGCTGTCACCGCGAAATTCCGTGTGGTCTTCAACGCTTCGGCGAAGAGCAGCAATGGCGTCTCCTTGAACGACACTCAGCTGGTTGGGCCGGCAGTTCAAGATCCACTAGTTGACCTCCTCTTACGCTTTCGTCGATTCCGCGTAGCTGTCACGGCTGACATCGAGAAGATGTTCCGGCAAATCGAAGTGGACTCCAGGCATCGATGTTGGCAGCAGATCCTCTGGCGCGAAAGCCATAATGACCCGCTCCATGCGTATCAACTGAAGACTGTCACCTACGGTATGGCTTGCAGCCCTTATAACTCTGCTCGTGTTCTGAACCAGTGCGCCATTGACAACCAAATCGTGGTTCCTGATGCTAATCGAGCTGCAGCTGCACGGGACAGTATCTTACGCAACTTTTATATGGATGATCTCCTGGATAGCGCTGACACGCCAAAAGAAGCAATCACGTTAGCGCGAGACATTTCCACCATATTGCAACAAGGCCACTTTCGACATTGCAAGTGGAAATCCAACGATGTGGACGTGCTCTCGGCGACATCTGGTTCAGAGGCATCCAGCTGCACACTTGGCTTAGACGACACTGATGCCAAAGTTCTGGGGCTTTACTGGGGACCAGTCAATGATGTGATTCTCTTTCGGGTAATGCTGCCAGATGCTAACCCTATCCCTACCAAATGTCAGGTATTGAGTGAAGTGGCCAGAATCTTCGACCGTCTTGGCCTTCTGGCTCCAGTAACAGTGACCGCTAAGATGATGATGCAGTTAACATGGGCCGCCAAGATAGATTGGGATACGCCCTTACCACCAGAGCTACGCGAGAAGTGGCTCAAGTTCCGAGGCAGCCTACCAGCTATTAGCGCTTTCCGCATATCACGATGGATCGGAATGACCAAGTCAGCAGCTACCACGCTCCATGGGTTTTGCGATCTCAGCGGACGGGCGTACGCCGCTGTCATATATTCACGAAGCATCGAACCCGATG